AATAAAGTCATAAAATAAAAATCTATAACAAAGTTTGTACTAGAAAAAATAGGGTGCCTAACACTTTTGCAATTTGCCTAAGACGAATGGTGCCTAAGACTTTTGCAAAAAAATTTCTGTTGATTTTGTTTTTTTGATTGTTGTCTTGGCAGGATACTAAAATGTGGAACTCTTTTTGTGGATAAATTCTTTTACCAGATAAATTCTTTTTCCATACAGAAACTATGGTGGCTACAAACTTCTGCACAGACCAGATTTAATTCAACAAATTATATGAAATTAACCCATAAACAATGTAAATTCAGTACAAATAAATATAGCATAGTTTGCACATGCATTAGATCACCACATTATATTACCATATCCTGAGGTTCCTGTTGAACTTGTCTGTAAATGTTGAAGAGTTTTGCTGTGAAACTGTCAACCTTGATGGTGCTGTTAAGATACATATCACAGTTAATGACCTTCTGAGCATAAGCACACACAACTTTCCCAAAAGCATAGTCCACATTCACAATCTCCTAAAATTAACAGCAAGAGAAGATAGATAAAAATGATATTTAGGGGAGGTCATAAAACCCTACACTTTGTTTATTTAAATTAATTAGAAAAGAGAAAAAAAAGAAAAAAAAAGTACTGTTCAAAAAAAAAAAACCTTGTTGCCACATGAGCAGTACCTTGCAAGAGCCTCCTCAAGGAAATGTGGACTCTGACTGACTCTGTCTATCAGCCGATTAAAGTGTGTTGCGATTTCAAGGGCCTGGTGAAAGAGTACTGTAGGTACCGTGGAAGGGAAGAGCGTGAACGGTGCATAACTCACCACCTACAAACACACACAGCTTCCACATAGCATTTTCACACCTAATTTAGTCAATGATCATTAATATATGAATAAATTATGAATTTCATAAATTGATGCAAATTAATTTACATTGAATTAAATTTACTTTAATATTTTAATTAATTTACAACTAAACACATCAGGTCAATGACCTGATGTACTGAAGCATAATTATATTTTCAAATGCTGCCATGAGAGAGACAAGATTCCAGACATAACTCTGCTACTGTGAGTCAGTGTTGTGGTTTGACATCGCAGTTGTTCAGATTTATGTAGTTTAACAGGTGGGACTGTAACAGCAACAAAAAGGTAAAAATGGTTTACCTCTGAAGAGTTTGGTGATTCTTTGGTACGCATTAATACTCCATGCAACAGTGCAGAATCTTTAGCAATTGCCTCCAGTTCTTTAATTAACTCCTCATTTCTTAAGAGCTTATCTGGAATTCCACGAGTAGCCATTGACATCAACCTGGAATGAAGCAAAAGAATATTGAGAGAGGAACAAAACTACAGGGTGTTAGTTGCAAAGCTTTCCAATAACATCACATCCCTAAGTATTCATTCCTTTTATACCACAGTAATTTGTCAATGCTAAAAACTTTATTTATTAAAAGAACAGAGACATACTTTTATCTTTTTACAGTTACATTTAATGTTGTGGAATGACCACAAAATAAGTTAGTTCTTGTTGTAACCCATGTTATAGTTAAGCAATACTGCACAAGCAGGAGTGCTGCTGTACTGGATATCAGCACGACTGTGATTTGGCCTTAAGCATGAAGCCACAGGCCGAAGTATGTGGACACCTGACCATCACACCCATAAACTTTCCCCAAACTGTTGCCACAAAGTTGGAAGCACACAATTGTCTAGCACGTGCTGCATTCATAACCAAGTGTGAACTGAAAAGTTTCCAACTTCCCAGTAGGAAGATCGATTTGTACGGCTCTCCAACTCGTAATTCCTACTCAAAGTCTGAATTTTCAGAGTGCGCAGACTTCTCAGAGTTGACCACTTTAACATGGGGGTGCTCGTAAGAATAAGAAATAACAGCAATCATTAAGGTTTTTAAAGCAGTGTTTTAGTTTCTTTATTTATACAGTCCCCTCCAAAAGTATTGGAACAGCAAAGCCAATTCTTTTGTTTTTGCTAGACACTGAAGACATTTGGGTTTGAGATCCAAAGCTGAATGAGAGACAATAGATCAGAATTTCCATCTGGATGTGTTAAACAACTTAGAACATGGCACCTTTTGTTTGAAGTCATCCATTTTTCCAAGTGATCAAAAATATTGTCACATGTGACTAACAGATATTTCTCGTTGACCAGGTGTGCCCTGTTAGATTGATTATTTAAATGATTAATAGTTCTGAATGTTTACTTTGAGCCCTGGGTTTCACCTATGAAGACTGCATTTGTTGTTAAAAAGGATAATCCAACAGCAAGACCAGAGAGTGGTCTATGGGAGAAAAGCAAGCCATGTAGCTGAGAAAAGAGGGGAAAAAATCGATCAGAGCCATTGCACAAGCATTGGGCATCACCACAACAGCAGCTGATGACAAACATCGTGAGAGCTGAAGAAAAACCCAACAAACAACAGTCAGTGACATCACCAACAACAAGGTATCACAATTTTAAAAGTAGAAATATGGAAATATGGATCATGAGCAGATCCTTTCTTTCTCAACACTTTGGCTTTTCCATCACTTTGGTAGAGGCTAGTCTTGGTTCCCAGAACTTTTGTGGCTCATTTCTGTACGTCTTTGTGAATTCCAATCTGGCTTTCCGATTCATACTGCTGATGTGTAGTTTGCATCTTGTGGTAAGGCCTCTATCTTTCTGCTCTCAAAGTCTTCTTCGAACGGTGGATTGAAATACCTTCACCCCTGCCCTGTGGAGGTTATTGGAGATGACACTGACTGTTGTTTTTGAGTTTTTCTTCACAGCTCTCACAGTGTTTCTGTATCAACTGCTGTTGTTTTCCTTGGCTGACCTGTTCAATGTCTGGTTGTTAGTACACCAGTGGTTTATTTCTTTTACAGGACCAACCGTTGTATTGTGAAATGCTTGTGCTTGTCACGGTGCTTGTGAAATGGCTCTGACTGATTTTCCCCTCTTTTCATGTTGGTTCATCCTTTTTAACAACAAATGCAGTCTTCATTGATGAAACTCAGGGCTCAAACCAAGAGTCATTGTACTGTCTTGTGCTGTCTGCACATGTTTGCACTTGTGCACTTTATGTATAAATTATGTAGTCGCTGTAGTTCTGTGTTGTTCTGTATCGTCTTATGTAGCACCTTGGTCCTGGAGAAACGTTGTTTCGTTTCACTGTGTACTTGTATATGGCTGAAATGACAAACTCCACTTTGAACCTTTGAACTTTTGAACTTTGAAGAGTAGACATTCAGAGCTATTAACTGTTTAAACAATCACTCTAACAGGGCACACCAGGTGCCATGTTCTACACTGTTTAACACATCTAGATGTAAATATCAGGACACGAAAGCTGAAATTCTGATCTACTGCGTCATTCATCTTTTCTCAAACCCCAATGTTTTCAGTGCAGCAAAAACAAAATAATAAGCCTTGCGGATCCGATACTTTAGGAGGAGATAGTATATCCTTGACCTTCATTATAAGATAATCAACGTTATCGCTTCATCTGTGATGATTGTTTTAGCTCATCTATCCGTGTACATATACAGACAAAATGTACTTCAAATTCGTCAGTCATTAATTTCACAGATATCCCACACTGATGAACACCCAGCGATGTTTTTAACTGTAAAAATGTAAACTATATTCAGGTACAAAGTTCACGTAAGTACAACAGCAATAAATTAATATTACTACAAATTAAGAGACAGTTAAATTACTACATAAGACTGGATGCCTGCTGCAGTTAGCATGCAAGCGATAACCGCCATCCACCCATTGCAGAAATTCTGATTCTGTAACCGCTGAAATGACTCGCATACACTGTGTGTCAAAATAAAAGCTGCACTCCTCAGTAACCACAAGTGAATTACCGATCCGCTGTTACGTGAATTTCATCGGTCATTAAAAGTAGTTAACTTACCCAGTAAGTGAAGATCGTTTATCTAATGAACGCTGCTTATCTTCCTCCGATTCTTGTGAATCTTATGAGCGCTGGCTCAAGTGCAGTTTGGTGTTTGTGGCAGCGAGGAAGTCCCAAGTGCATTAAACAAGTCTGACTAAACCACTGAAAGCACGTGAAAACTGAAATGACACAAGATTATTTATTTCACGGAATGTTTTCAACATAAAAGCCTCATTTCGTTCTATGCTACTACTGAAACTGCCGTGCTGTAACTGGTGAACACAATTGTGGATATGTAGTATATTCTTAGATCCTGATGATTGATTTAATAATAATCAGGATCAAAGAATATACTTTGCAACTTAGCAATTGGGTTATTATCCACAACTGCGTTCACCAGTTTAAACATGTCCATGTCAGGTGGCACAGATTGTGACAGTTCCAGGATAAAAGTCTATTTTTAAACAGCCAAATGAATCCAAAATGTGAGGCAGGATCAAAATCAGAATACAGGCAGAAGTCAAGCAATGTGCAAAAAGAGTTAACTGGGCAAAGGACAAAGACGTAAACCAAATAACCAAAAATGTAGTTGTAACTATGACACTGAGTGTAAACTTCACAATGAGTGTGTGAACTGAGAGTCCTTAAGCAGTGTGGCAGTAATTGTGTAATTGAGTTCAGGTATGTGCAATCAGAATGGCGGTGAGTGTGAGAGTTTTTGTGATGGCTGTGCTGTAGTCTTCTGTGGCCATGTTTGTAGGCTGCTCTGCATTCTGGGAGTTGTAGTTGATAGCCATGCTTCTAGGCCACTCTCTGTTGCTTTTAGTGGGAAGCAATGCCTTTTCTGGCATTGATGTGAAGGTCCAACAGTCTCAGACTATTTCAGTATGACACACTGATCAAGTTTCTTAATGTGTACAGTCATGATGTTGTTCTTATTTGGCTGCTCCCATTAGCGGTCGCCACAGTGGATCATTGGTCCACATATTTGATTTGGCACAGTTTGTACACCGTATGCCCTTCCTGAAGTAACCCTCCCCAATTTTTATCCAGGCTTGGGACTGACACTGGGAGTGCGCTGTAATGTGCTGGGGTTGGGTCCCTGGCCGAGAATCAAACCTGGGCCGCAGTGGTGAGAGTGTCGTGGCCTAACCACTAGTCCTCCAAGGACCCTTGTGTACAATCATAAATATCTCAAATATCCAGAAGAGTTATATTTTAATCAAAATAAATAGAAATTAAAATAACCAATTGCCTGCATGATTTACAAGCATGAAATACATTTTAATGCAATACTTCAATCCAGTCTTGGAGTACCCCCTGTTGGGCACATTTTAGTGTTTTCCCTGCTCTAACACACCTAAGAGAACTAATCAGCTAATAAATACTTCCTGAGTAGAACTGGGTGTGTTAGAGCAGGAAAACACTAAGATGTGCAGGACCAGGAATGTATTACATGACCAGGGCTGGGAACCTCTGCTCTAATGTCATCAAACAGATCCATCACTGTGAGGTGGGATGCCTACCATAGGCCAAGTCAAGCAACTTTGGGCAGGCCTCATCAGACTATTGTATATATTTCAAAGTAGGTTACAGCCAGTTCATCCTTGACTGAGTTTTATTAATTTGACCCAGATAAACCCTGTCTAAACTAACTGTCTGAATTGATAATTAGTTATCATATAACTAACTGATAATTGAAAAAAAAAAAAATAATAATAATAATATAAATCTAATTTAATTTCTCCATGACCAAACAATAATCGATACTGTGTAGCCTATAATAAATTCCATAGGAGCGAAAGTTTTTTTTTATGGGATTGCAACTGGAATATGGTGAAATTGCTATGGGGTTTCTATTTCTATTAGAATTTTATAGATTACTGATTGAAATGGCATAGAAATGCATTTAAATTGAATTATAATGTCTACACGACTGCTGTGTTAAAGCCCATTTACAGGATAATCATGACAATAAAAAGAGATCATTTAATAATTAAATGGATTTGATCTTTAGAAAACAAAAAATAACAAGTCCAGTGTTCACAGGCTAGATTGCTCAAAAATGAATTAACCACATAAACTTCATCACTGGGGGATACTTTATTCTCCTGTGGTGTTATATCTTTACTTTTCAAAAGTTTTGCAGGAGGGGTAATCAATCACAACCATCCCTGCCCCTGGCCTGTGGACCACCTCAAACTTGAATTCCTGAAGTGCCAGACACCAATGAATCCTTCATGTGCTGGAGCCAATAGAGTGGGTTGTGATCGGAACAGAGGGCAAAGGGGTGCCTAAATAGGTAGTATTGGAGGGTGAGGACCTCCCGCTTGATGGCCAGATACGCTTTCTCAATCGTGCTATAGTTTCCAACTTATGTACAGCGTTGGGCGCTCCTCCCCCTCCACCCCCTGGGACAAAATGGCCTGTACCTGGGAAAATCCCACTCTCATGGCTCCAGCCACCGGTCCAGATGTGGACAGGACCTTTTGTTATAATTGCTGATGCCAATCATTAATATAAATGATAATGTCATCTAAATTAGCAGCAGCATGTGCGCTGTGCAGGCTAAGTATTTTGTTCATGAGACATTGTCGCTGGGGATCCAAACAACCCAAAAATAGAAGGGTGACAAATTGGTGGAAAACAGAATGGAAAAGGCCTTTTTTTATCTTGAAATATTGGAATCAAGGGAGACTGCCAATACCCCTTGGTTAAATCCAGTGTCTAATAAAAGCAAGCCACACCTAACCGGTCAAGCAATTCATCAATGCATGGCATTGAGTATGCATCAAATTTAGACATTGCATTGACATTTCTAAAGTCCACACAAAAATGAACCGATCCATCATCCTTAGACATCAAGACCACTGGACTGCTCCAATCAGTGTGGGACTCCTCGATTACTCTCACTTGTGCGTTTCCCAGTGCCCTGCATTGAATCAGCCTTTGATGGTTACAAGCCAAGTCCACTAAGGCCTTGTGTGTATTTCCTTGTATACTCAGACATGCAGTACATTCCTGCTCCATTGGGGGAGGCCTGTAGCATGTCAGGTATCTGCTTCTGCTAGGGAACACTGGTCCTGGAAATGCCCAGCTTCCCTGCCATGCCAGCAAACCTGCCTGGGCTGTGCCCCGGTGCTGGTGGGCATGGGAGATTCCCCCTGTGTGAAGAGAGAGAGAGAGAATGGGTGGACATTCGAGAGGAAACAGACTTTTCACTATATAGTATACAGTTACAGAAGAGAAATTATTTATAATCGCACTATACGGTGTCACCCAGATGGGATGGGTTCCCTTTTGAGTCTGGCTCCTCTCAAGATTTCTTCCTCATGTTGTCTCAGTTTTTTTCCTTGCCACCATTGCCTCTGGATTGCTCATTATTGATAAATTTTATAAATTTAAAATTTATAACCAGAAATTATATATTTCTGTAAAGCTGCATTCTTATAATGTCCATTGCTAAAAGTGCTATACAAATAACATTGAATTGAATTGAAACAGAGGGATGGGAGGAAAAGTGGAGGGAAAATTGGGTTTGGAGTGCCAGTTTTGGGGTTTTGGCACCTTGGCCACAGGGAGATGGAACCAGAAGGGGAGGAGAGAGAGGAGGGGGCAAGAAAGAGAGAAACAAGAGTGGCCTGCTACAGCAGAAACTGTCAGGTGATCCTCTGCTAGGGATGCCGGTCGGTGGCACTGGATCCATTCCACTGTTCCTGACGGAAGCTGTGTGATGAACTGTTCCAGCACCACCAGTTCAAGGAGTTCAAGAGCACACCCCCACACAATCGCATCTGCCTACTTTGCATGGCCAAAAACAAGGTTATTAAGGAATAACCTCTGTCAACACTGGAATTAGTGTGGAACTCCAATTCCCAGAACACCATGAGGCCTACAAACCCAGCCTACACAATCACTGTCACAATCCCAGTACTGATTGTACTCAACTGGTTCCCATTATCCACAAACCCTATATATACAGACGCTGGACATTCTGGTAGTTGCTGTAGTTATTAATGCTCATTGTATTCTTGCCTGACTTACCAAGACTTATTCTCCGTGTAATTAGTTGTTCTGGTTCCTGTTTTTCTTATTCTGATTTTGTCTGTATTGTTCTGTTTGCTGATTGCCTGACTCTGATCTGCCTGTTTGTTTTTTTTTACCCTGAACCTGTCTCACATTTTTGGATTGTCTGACAGTTTTTAAAACAAACATCTTTATATGCAACTGCAACCAACTGCAACTCTGAAGCTTTTGACTATAATTCTGTACAATATTTCAATAAAAAAAAACATTAGCACTTATTTCCACATATCTCCCACTGATATACCATTACTTCCAAAAGGAATCTCATGGGAGTGTCCTTACACTCTAAAGATAATTTGAGGTGATGGTGTCCACCACCCAGTGGCACCCAAAGCATGCAGTTTTTCTACTCTTCTTGCTGAAGTGATTATTAGCATAAATGCTAACAGAGGAATACATTTCAGTTCAGCACCTTCTTTGGACTCTTAAGGGAACAATCTCAGGGATTCTAACACTAGGGTGAGATAAGGCTGGATTGTTGGGGGAGCACAAATGATAAAGAAAGGTTGTTTCAGAAAGGCTGTGACAAGTTTAGGAGTGCCTACTGAGACATCATCCATAGCACTGCTATGTGCAACAAATAGCAGTAGACATTCAGGCTCGTTGTGGACCAGTGGATCCAGGGAAAACCATAGTTTATAATGAGTCATTGTGGAATTGGCAAAGAGGTCTACCAGTGCCCAAATCTGGCACAACACCTGTGGATTTAGATGCTATTCTCCTGGGTGTATGTACTTCCTTGCCAGTACGTCTGTTGCACAATTGAGCCTTTCTGGCAAATGAGTCACTCTCGATGAGGCTAATAATGTGTGGGCCCAGTAGGGTAGCTTTTGTACTAAGTGAAGTGTACCATCCGATCCTCTGCCACCTGGATGGTTGATATAGCTGACTGTCACAACACTGTCAGAGAGGACTAGAATGATGTGGTGTCATAATACTGCTAGGGAAAATAAGAAGGCTATGTAGACCATCCTTAGTTACAGCTCACTGATGTGTTCCATCCTCACAATGGGGCTTCATATGCCTCCAGTGCCTCTGTGACACCACACTTCTCACTAGCCAGTGAGGGAAGTATCTGTGGTGAAGTCCCACTGACAGGGTACTGCACACAGGTGGACCCAAATCTGGATATAAGCCTCCTCCTTGATATAAGAAGAAGCCTTTATTTGTCTCTCACACATACACACACACACACACAGTCAGGTCTGGAAGTAGTTGGACAATGATGGAGTTTTGGTGATTTTGCCTTTATACACCACCACAATGGATTTGAAATAAAACAATCAAGATGTGATCTGTGGTGTAGACTTCCAGATTTATTTTAAGAGGTTCCACAAAAATAGGGCATTTACTATTTAGGAATTACAGCCATTTTCAGCAAAGTACTTCCATTTTCAGGGGCTCAAAGGTATTTGGACAACTGAATGACAAGAAGTTAATTTCCTTGTTACTTCAAGACAAATGAAGCAGATAAAAGGTCTGGAGTTGATATCAGGTATTGAGTTGGCATTTGGCAGCTGGAGCTACCAATATGAAGTCCAAGGAGATCTCAATGCAAGTGAAGGAGGCCATCATTAGGCTGAAAAAACAACCTAAATCTATAAGAGAGATAGCAAAACCTTAGGTGTGGCCAAATCAACAGTTGGGTACATTCATAAAAAGAAAGACGCCTTCATGAATGTAAATACAGAGGGTATACAACAAGGTGCAAACCACTGGTAACATTCAAGAACAGGAAAGCCAGATTAGACTTTGCCAGAAAACATCTAAAAAAGCCTCCCATGTTCTGGAATAAGATTCTTTAGACTGATGAAACCAAGATTAACTTGTACCAGAATGATGGGAAGAGAAAAGTATGGTGAAAGAAAGGAACAGCTCATGATCCAAAGTATACCACATCATGTGTCAAACATAGTGGGCGCAGTGTTATGGCATGGGCATGTATGGCTGCCAATGGAGCGGGCTCACTGGTGTTTATTGATGATGTGAATGCTGACAGAAGTAGAAAGATGAATTCTGAGGTGTATAGGGCTATACTCTCTGCTCACATTCAGCCAAATGCTACAAAATTGATAGGATGCCGC